CGATCCCAATACGAAGTTCGCGAACATTAGGGATATCCATCGGGCTCAAATCGAAGCGGGTGAAAAGGAGGTTATCACGGCTGAATCCAGCGACTCTGAATGCCCTAGTGAGGCTGGCAGCTGTATTGTAGTGGGTGTGGTTGAGGATCAATAGTTAATAGTAATGAGGAGGTTGGGTTGTGATCCCATCGTTTTTGTGGTGCCAGAAACAGGGGGGTGCCAGGAAGTGGGTATGTTGACTTACTCAGTGAGCGGAGTCAAATTTGAGGGACCTGGCCAAATTGGAAAGACACCGTCGCGAATTTTAGGTTTCACGTCAGAATAATTTTCACCAATACTTGACGCATGAAGACGAGATCCCACCGGCGAACTGCATGCCTATGGTAGGATTCGCATTGTTATCTCCCTCCAGTTTAATTAGCGCAATTACAACATTGAGCTCAATCATGTGATGCGGTACACTACACGTAAGCGCCGGGGTGCTTTGTTGGTGGCTGAATCCCTCAGGTTCATCTCATGGTCATAGACCCCGCACCTGTCGGTGGCGTGAAGAAGAGGCGTGATGTTTGCGTTCCACAACGTACGACCTCAACACCTGCCCATTAGTCAAATCAACGCTCTTCATGCTCGTAATGCCTTCAAAAGTATTGAGTATATTTGAGTGGACATCTCATCATCCTATAACGGCTGCCATCGCACTGTTAATACCCGTAATACTGCTGGTTTGCCTCCGCCGGCCAAGTCAAGATGAGCCACCGTCACTTCCCGAGGTCGTGCCTTTCATCAGCAATACCTATCAATACATGACGAATATCAGAAGACTGATGGAGCGTGCAAGGTTCGTCAAGATGAAATGGCAGGTCGTGCCGTATGTTGAGGCGTCGCTGACTTGTTGCTTGTAAGCCGTTCCATGAATCACAGCAACATCGTCAAATTCTACCTAGGACCAATGCGCGTATACTTTGTACAGGGGGGAGAAAGCGTGCAAGCCATGTTTCGATCGTCTACCAGCATCAGCTCGAACAAGTTCATCCTACTGGTCATGAGAAACCTGCAAGGGTCCGCCCAAAAAGATGTCGACAAGTTCGCAAACGACCTCTCGGGGCGGCAAAGAGTACCTGCACCCGGCTACGAAAACACACCGCAAGAGGAGCGATATTGGTACACTTTGCATCACATTACCGTTGAACATCTATCACGCGCAGAGCCCACCGCTCATTTGGCAGAGACTTACACAAACTTCTTTAACGAGGCTTTGGAAAAGCAGCCTGTGGGCCAGTGGGCGACTGTTCGTCTTTTGGAATTCTTGAAGAGGGAAATGTGTGCGAGCGCCATCAGGTCATTCTGCGGCACCGAGCTATTGGACATGTTTCCGGACTACGTCGAGCAGTTCTGGCGTTTCGATAGCATTGCTTTTCAGGTTGTGTATGGGCTACCAAAGTGGATCAACAGCGGTCCGGTAAATGAACGCGATAAGTTGAACGGCATGACGCAGGAGTATCTGAGAAAGGCCTTTGCAAAATTTGATTGGGACGGTTCTGCGGTGGATTCCATCTGGGAGCCCACGTTCGGATCAAGCTACGTTCGCAAGATGACCAAATGGCTTCACGACACAGATATGGCTCCGGAGACTCAAGCCGGTTTCTACATGATTGCGATCTTTGGGTACGTCTGACAGCTTCATGTTGACAAGGTGCACTGATGCTAATCTGTCAGAATAAACGCGAACACAATACCAATCACCACATGGGCGATGATTGAGCTCTTGCGAGATCAGAAGCTGTTCCAAGCAGTTCGCAGCGAGGCCCTTGAGACCCTTAATGTGGATCCCGTTACCGGGAAGCGATCATTTAACGTATCCAAGCTCATCTCAATGCCGCTGATGCAGTCTATTTATACGGAGTGCATGCGTCTTCATGTCTCCATTGCGCTCTCCAGAGAAGTCGTCGAGACGACCACGCTCCACGGCTTCCGCTTAGAGAAAGGCTCAATAATTCAGGCCCCGACGCATTTTGTGCACTTGGACGAGCAGATATGGAGCCAGGAAGGACATTCTGCTTCTGAGTTTTGGGCAGAAAGACATCTAAAGCATGTGAAGAAAGTAGAAGAAGGTACTGATCGACTTACCACCGAAAAGCAGTTTGTATTGGCGGGAAAGACCAATGAGTTCATCCCGTTTGGTAAGTGGACTTTCCCGAGTTTCAATGACGAGGGGCATGTCACCACAATGACAGAGTAAACTAACATCATGCATAGGTGGTGGACCATCCATGTGTCCGGGGCGGTTCTTTGCTAAACAAGAGATTCTTCTCACAATCGCCATCCTTGTCACAAAGTTCGACATGGAGTTTGTTGAGTGGACAAATTTGGACGGGTCCAAGTCTGATCGACCCCCTGTGGATGATGAGCGGTACTTTGGTACAGCTGCTGTACCTCCGGATCGCGATGTCAAGGTAAGGTGGAAGAAACTCTGGTGACTTCTTCAATTCCAAGCCTTCTTACGAGTTGGTACGTGAAGTCATGTGTGATAAGTGACCTCAATAGTTCCCAAAATCCAATCTTAACTTCGACTGTGGGTGTATGTTCGCAACTTTGCTCTTTAGTGAGCCATGATTTCTGGTTTAATATGTGCCTTATATACTTCTAATGATGAACTATGAACATGAAGGGAATCCCACGGTGACGGTTCACAACTGCGAAGTTGTCATCGGAAATGAGACGGACACTGTTCCTTAAGCGTCACTCGGAAGGATAGAAGGGTCAGCATTCTCGACCAGCATCTGTACATACTCATCGAACCAAGCACCAGCCCTAGGTGCACCCTCAAGACCACAGCGTCCGTCGCTCTCGCCACCTGGCTTCACCCACACGATGGAGTCAATATGGGTGTTGTTCACCGGCGTGCCGGGCTGCATACCGAACCCGGCTGGATGGACATTGCACCATTCACCCCACTCGGCTCTGCTGTTGGAGACACGGCCTTGGTCGATGATAAACCGGGATGGCAGACCTTCAGCCTCCAGGTAGGGAGAAAGGGATAGCGCGTAGTTGTTCTCGTCATACGAGTTGCTCCATTCTGTGTAGTTGGCGCGGGGGTTGGCGTGGAAGGGGTTGTAGTTTGAGACGTTGGTCGAGAAACCGCGGATCTTGGTGTTATTGCCGGCCTTCTGGACGACCTTGGCGAAGAGCTTCGCGGCTATGATCATTGTCAGTAACTCATGTCGTCGGAAAGTGAGTTTTTGTCAATCACGAGACTTACAAGGCTCTAGGTTGTCGTTCCAGCCTAGCCATCCACCATGAGCAGCATCAATGTAGAGGTTGACGTGATCATACTGCAAGCTTGAAATAGCATACGCAATACCATCCTCGTACACCGGTTGCGCCTTGGCACAGAACTCGATTCCTAAGTTCGTTACAAGGTTCGCCAAGGAATCCGGCTCGAGAACAACGGCAAAGGTCAAGTCACTGGCAGCAGCCAGCTTCTCTGCGTATGGCTTGACAAAGGTCTCCTTGTACAACTCAAGCCCGTTGTTCTCGCTGCTAAATTCGCCAGCACTCTCTCCTGCACTGCAATCTCTGTCAGGGAGGTCGTAGAGTACCAGACCGACAATTTGCTGCTCGCCCGTCTTAGACTGAACGGCACGGGCTCGTTCGATAGCCGTGTCGATATTTGCTAGACCAGAAACGTCCGCAATCCAGACAAATGTACCGATATCTTGGATGGTTCGGACCTTGCCTGCGTTTACAGTGTCACCCTTGGCGACGAAGGCATCATGAGTCTGTTCAAGCTTATCGGCCCAGTCTGGGTTGGCGTAAAGCTTCTTCCCGTCGAAGGGGTTTGTTGTGTCGTTGCCGGTGCCTGCACGGCGGAAGTGATGTCCTCTCGTACCAAAGCGAGGTGATGCCGATACTGCTCCTAGGGTAGAAAGAAGAGTTAGAAGTGAAGCGAAATGCATTTTGACGATTGTCTGAATGAGCAGCTACTCGACCGGCGGGTTTGCTTGCGTGGATGTCAACTCATTCGCAATATCTTCTCCGTGTAGCAAACTTGCTGCTTCTTATACCTCGAGAGCTGGTCCAGTGATCAAGTTTGCTACAGCAGTGTCTCTCCCATACCGGAGTGAATGTCGCCAGGTCAAGAACGGAACCAAAGGCGCCTCGCTACAATGCGACGGTTATGATTTACCAAAGGGCCGTCAACACAGTTCTCCGTCCGAGAAGCCTAATTGAGAGAGGATCGACGCACAATCCAGGGCAAAGCGCCAGACTCGATGCATTATGCGATGGTGAAATGTGAGAAATAGATTGCAGGCCGAACAATCGTTGGGTTCCGGCTGCCGTCCCTGGCAGGTGGCTAAGATCTGATTTGTCGGAAAATAACAAGATGCTCGAATTGCCGAGCTAGGCCAAGATCCTTGATTGGAACCGACGGCTTCTCTTCCGAACTCCCAATTCGGAGCCACCTACCTGGTCGCTCACCTCTGGACAACTGGCCTTTTGGACTTTCTATTGTGAGCCTGTAACTCAACAGCACTAAAATTGATTGTTTCAAAAGCATACTCACTGGCTATGGAGAGTTATGCACGTGATTTTTGACACTCCTTGATTCGGGATATCGGGCTGGTGAACCGTCAACCCACAAGGCCTAAGGACAGTTACATACCGTAGTCTACCTATCAAGATACACGAAGCTCTTCTGATTGTGTTACTGCTGTTCGTTTGTAATTGTCTTAATCAGCTTATCAGATGGCATCTTACCTACCTCAGTGCGCCAGGGTCTCCAACGTTGATGGAAGGGCTCACTCACACCATCTAGCAAATATTCTGCCAGTGGCTAACACTCATATTCTTGGGACTATTTGAACAGAATTGAGTCGATTATATGTATAGAATCTTGGACTCTGTCAGATGTTTCTATTGCTAATAGCTCTCTCCATCTTGCAAAACCAGGATCTTTTGACCGAACAAGAATCTTTGAAACTAGAGCATAACAACACCGGGCCTTATACGCACTTTCATTGCTTCTCATAATCTTCAATCTGTGTTTCATTCGGGTGCTTCAGTTGCGGCATGAAATTATACGACCGAAAGCATAAGAGCTCAACATGTTATGCCTTTGACATGTTATGCCTTCTTCGCCTACAATTAGTCATCACCCGTGAGACGATCCATTGCTGGTGAGATTTTTCTCCGTAAGCGACAGTCTTGATCATACACACCCTTCTTGTTCTATGAAAAGATGATTAGTATACCAGGATCACTGCAAATCGCTTACCTATGTTGGGACAATAAATATCTTACCTCTAAGAGTACTTACCTACAGTAGAGTGTCTGACAATCCATAGAGTCCTAGAACCTACTTGAAACGACGTGTACGACATCCCACTTAATCAAACATCAGGAGTAGAAGGAATGTCAGTCACCAGGGGGTCGTCATCCCAGCTGTATCTCACGATGGTTTCAAAGCCTCCATTGTTGTTTTATCTCAATGGCTCCGGAGGGATAATTGATGTCAAGGTTTTGCCAGCAAGCGTCCCATGATCCGTTCAATCCTCCCAACGGCGCCGACCAATTCGTTCTCTCCAGGTTGATTGTCACACGAGCTAGAAGACGATCCTTGCAGGTGTCAGCATATTAGCGGGCATCCTACCAGCCAAATCGACGAGTTATATGCAGCCCAGCAGCCAACCATCTGACCGCTAGCTTAACGCGGAATTCCCATGAAACATAAGACGCGTATTTCAGCAGCTTATCTTCATCTAAGAAATGATTTGACAGTGAAGTGGTTCCACTGCCACTATGGTTCCTTTTTCCTTATACGCGAGAAAGAGGTTGCTAACGCCCTCGCGACACCCTAGTGGTTCTAGCGCTGATACGATCTACCGAATACGGTCAGCATTTCGTACGCGAAGGATCCTAGGCGGCTGCGTAGCAGGGTCCCTCAGTAAGCTTTCCTCCGCCTCCGTCGGCGAATTTTTACTCCCTGATTGCACGTCACCGCTAGAGTTTACGAAAACGAGAGGACTGAAGGGCCCCAGAGACACGTGGGGAACGCGGAGAAGGCGTTCGTGGAATCCGTAGTCCGTTCGAACTGTGTGACAGATTGCGACGTTCAGGGTTCAGCTGGGGTCGTACAGCGTACAAAGATCCGACTGCCCCGCAAGACAAACTTGAGACGTTTATCGATCTCGTCGATCTCCATCATCAGTGTGTTCTCTTTGAAGCATCGATAATATGTTGTGGCTACTGTGGGCGCCAGTCGCTCTCGCGGCTGTAATCATCGCAGTGGATCGACTGCGTAAGAAGATAAAGCCGAATTACGGGCTTCCACTCGTTGGATCTCCTAATGAACGGAGCCTGTCTTCCGCTATTATCGATGGCTATCAAAAGGTGATTTTGCCGGGCTTCCTGTCCTTCCTACTGAATCGTCAACTAACCGAGACCCGAATGACAGTATCCAGACACGGCGTTCGTGGTTCCAAGCGACCCCCCAAGGGTCATGCTTCCAATGAACCTATACCAAGAGGTTATCCAAGCACCAGACTCTGAGATGTCCTTCGCTGCTGAGATTTACGACATCTTCCTCGGCCGCTACACTCACGTCGGCGAGAGTCGATGGGAAGTAGTCGAGGCCGTACGAATCGACTTGACAAGGAATATGTCTGGTGTTCTCCGACCAATTCAGGAGGAAGCTAAATTCGGCTTGAGTCAGCTAATTGGAAATTCGGCAGAGTGGAAGACTCTCAATAGCTACCATCTAGTTCTCCGCATGATCGGGTTGATGACTGGCCGGGTCTTCGTTGGCATGCCCTTGAGTCGCGAGGAGGACTGGATTAGGGCTTCGATTACCTTCGCTACAGATGTGGGCAAAAGTCGTATGGCTGCCCTCCGATGGAACCCGTGGATCAGGCCTTTTGTCCTCCCGTTTATTCCTGAGGTGCGCCATACGCGCCGAGCGCTTCAAAAAGCAAACGAGCAGATGCGACCTTTGGTCAAGGAAGTTCTCCGAAGTGAGAGCTTGCCTGACGAAAAGCCGGCGAAACCCGGTGCTCCTGGGGCTTTCGTATCGTGGATGATGAAGTATCTGACTGCCGAGGAGAAGACTCCAGAGACAATGGGGACCAACCAGATGTTGCTTTCGTTTGCTGCCATTCACACAACTTCCGGCACAACCACATTGGTATGAATCTAGATTACATGCTGAATGGTCCAAAGTTCGAGTTAACGTTTCTCAGGCTCTTCACGACTTGCTTGGCCGCCCCGAGTACATCGAGCCTCTGCGTGAGGAGATCGAAGAAGTCATCAAAGAAGATGGTGTAGAGAAAGACGAAAATGGGCAAGTGTTTCTTTCAAAGTCTTCTATGGGCAAGTTGAAGAAGCTCGATAGCTTCATCAAGGAAAGTCAGCGCACAAGTCCATTGAGCTTTGGTAAGTTACTCCTATTCTAGTATCAACTCGAGTCCAAAACTCACCTAAGGGAAAAGCCGGCACATCCAGAAGGCTTCGCAAAGATCAAACCTTTTCCAATGGCATGAAGTTGCCAGCTGGAACCGCCATCTCCTTTCCATTATGGGCTGTATAGTAAGTCGTACACGCCATGAGGCTTCGATGCCAGAGCCCAGGTGAAACTCAAAATCAGAGCGAGGCTCACAAACTCATAGTAATTCTACCACAACAAAGACCTTCAGCCCAGAGTATAATGTCGAGACTGGCAATGCACCACCAAGCGAGTTCGACGGTTTCCGTTTCGCACGCCTACGAGATCAACCAGGTCGTGAGATGAAGCACCAAGCTGCGACAACTGGACCAGATGCGTTCAACTTTGGGCATGGCCCGCACGCATGTCCGGGACGCTTCTTTGCTGTCTATGTGATCAAGTGCATATTCATTGAGTTGTTAATGAACTATGACATCCATCTGAAGGGAAGTGCCGGTAAGACGACGGAGAGACCACCGAACCAAATCAACAAAATGATCGTGCAACCGAATTTCGGGGCCGAGGTTGAGGTGCGAAAGCGTACGAAGGTTTGAACTCGGGGACTGGCTTTGAACATAAAGGGGGCCGAGATGTTTTAAATAAGACTCATAATCTAGGCGAGACGAGCAGTCAATTTCACTAGCAGCAGAGCGATATTCAAGATTCTAAAGTTTGCAACCAAAAGGGTACCCGGGGCACGAGTCTTTGACTGCTTGGATCACTGATCGAAGGGCAAAAAGATAACGTCAATCGCTGACGGGAATTGAGCCCGACGTGGCTGGTAATGGTCAGTTATTGTGCTGATACTGATGATCGTGGATTGAAGCTTACGGGTCGAACCCACAACCTTGAGATTAAGAGTCTCACGCTCTACCGATTGAGCTAGCCGGGCAATTGTGAACAACTGCTGGTTGCTGAAGCGGCTGCTTCGTCAGTGGGATCATGTAGATGGGGCACGATGCTGTCGAGACCCTAGACTCAGGGCACCAAATTTTTCGAATCTAAGTGAGGCCGAAGTGGATCGTGGAACCGGGCCAAACCATGTCAATGTAAAACCCTTGGCGGCGGACCATCGGCTGCGTGATCGACAAGCCCCATCATGAATAAGGAACCGTCAAGTTCGGATGAACCGCCCAACAATTGTGCCCAAGAGACTCTTCGGACGGCGAGAGTGCGAGAGGATGGAAATAGAGACCACTCTGCGTGGATTGACGCCATCTGGCATCTGAGCCAAGCAAGTGCTGAGTCGCGGGGCAGTCTCCCTTTTTGCAGCATACGGAGCGTCACACTCCGTCTTCAAATACATGAAGGCCAAGCCCCCTTCGTCATCCCGGTTCGATGCTTTGAGGCCCCGGCAAACATGCTCAATCAAGAGAGACGGGATGGATTGTGGAGACGCAAAATTAACCTCCGTCACCCCTGGAATCTTAATGATCGCCATACCCTTCCCCGGTGAGCCCCCTACGGCACACGGCGAGATTGACACAACGAGGGGGACTGTTCGGGACGAAGGGAGAGTCGCCCGACTTTCGTTTATAACAAGCATTGATATCCCACCGGCGAAGCCAGTTCTCTAGGTTCTCGGGACGATGCCGTTTCAGCCAATCTTTTCGATTCTCTTCCTTTTCTTGTAACATCCCCGCGTTGATCTTCCGTGAAATCATGGCGAAATCCACGGCGCTTTCTCTCCGTGCCGTCCTCGCGTTTGCCGCTGGCGTGTATTCGCAGAACTGCATCGGCAGCACCGGAGCTAAGGTCTACGAGGCCGAAAATGGGGTTCTCAACGGAACCACCGTCGCGACGGAGCAAGCTGGCTTCACAGGTATGGCACGGTTATCATTTAATACTGATCGCATCGTTCGTTGACTTTTGGTGGTTCACAGGCACCGGCTACGTAACTGGCTTCGAGGATGCCACCGACAAGGTCACCATCAACCTGGACTGCCAGGGCGAAGGACAGAAGCTATTCGACCTCAACATCAGATACGCTGGTATCTACGGCGAGAAGCGCACCAATGTCATTCTCAATGGCGGTGCCGCTAGCGAGGTGCTCTTGGCCGCGACCGAGACCTGGGCCAACGTCTCCGCCGGTCAGGTGCTGCTCAACGAGGGCAACAACACGCTTGACATTGTAACGCACTGGGGATGGTACCTCATCGACTCCATCACGCTCACGCCCACCGAGGCCCGCGGACCTCACAATGTCAACACGGCTCTCGTCAACGCGAAGTCCAATGCTGATGCCAACGCCCTGTACACCTACCTTCGCTCCATCTATGGCAAGAACATCCTCTCCGGTCAGCAGGAACTCAACTACGCGAACTGGGTCAACGAGACCATCGGCAAGTCACCCGCCCTCGTCAGCGTCGACCTGATGGACTACTCTCCCAGCCGCGTCGAGCGGGGAACTGTCGGTACTGCCGTCGAGGAGGCCATCATCCACCACGAGCGCGGTGGTATCGTCTCCGTGCTCTGGCACTGGAACGCGCCTACTGGTCTGTACGACACGGAGGAGAACAAGTGGTGGAGCGGTTTCTACACTCGCGCCACCGACTTTGATGTCTCAACTGCCCTTGCTGACACCACCAACGCCAACTACACCCTCATTATCCGCGACATCGACGCCATCGCCGTCCAGCTCAAGAAGCTCCAGGATGCCGGAGTCCCCGTTCTTTGGCGCCCACTTCACGAGGCCGAGGGAGCGTGGTTCTGGTGGGGAGCTAAGGGCCCCGAGGCGTGCAAGAAGCTCTGGGCTCTGGTCTACGACCGTCTCACCAACCATCATGAGCTGAACAACCTCGTCTGGATCTGGAACTCGGTTGCTGCCGACTGGTATCCCGGCGATGATACCGTCGACGTTCTCAGCGCGGACGTCTACGCTCAAGGCCACGGCGTAAGCTTATCTTCATTTTCTTTCCTTTCACAGAATCCGTTGTTAACATGACCACAGCCCATGACGACTCAGTATAACGACCTCATCACGCTCGGACAGGACAAGAAGCTCATCGCGGCTACCGAGGTCGGCAGCGCTCCCTTCCCCGATCTTCTCCAGGCTTACGAGGCCCACTGGCTGTACTTCTGCGTCTGGAGCGATGGCTTCATCAACAACACCGAATGGAACAGTGTCGATGACTTGAAGAAAGTGAGTAGCATTGCCAACCCCTGTCTGCGCCGTGCTGGGCCTCTGGTACTAACATTTGAACTCAAAGATCTACGAGAGCGAGTATGTCCTCACTCTTGACGAGATTCAGGGATGGAGAGGTTGAGGATCGGGATATCGAGAAGAGCTTGCCTTCTTCTACTACCTTCTCTGTAAATATTTTTACCAAATCAGTGTATAAAAATCAAAGACTGCTGAGTCTTGTCTTCGAATTTCTCCGCGAGAACTCAGTTCGGTCTGTCCGGGGAAACGGCGCCAACCTGGAGGTGCTGTCTTTGTCAACACACTGGACGAGCCGACGGATGGCCTGATCGGGACTAAGATGAGCGTCGATGAGCTGTTACGCGTCTTTCAACCGGGTCCTGGCCAGCCATCTAGCCCCGAAATTCTAGACCCGAGTTTAGCCCTGCAATACGTCAGGCGCACTTTGGGAGAAAATTCTATACCTTTGACGTCAGCAGCTTCTGTTATCAAGGCACCGACAAGCAGCGACCCTGTGAGCAGGGGCTGGCCTAACGGGACCAACGGGGAATTTGACGAAGGGGATGACGAAGGGGACGACGAAGAGCATGACGAAGAAGACGATGAAGAGGATGACGAAGAAGACGATGAAGAGGATGACGAAGAAGACGATGAAGAGGACTACTCAGGGAGTGACATGGAATATTCCGATATCGAAGGGTTTAAGGAATGGGAGTTTGAAGAGAACCCCAGCGGGTATGTCCCTGGCGAAGAGCTCAGAGTCATGAACTTTTGGCGGAACCGTGGTGTCTATGGACGGCCAACCTGGAGAGACATAAAGGCTTATATGGATAGAGTGCGACTCTGATTCAGACTTCGATGGCGCGTTCTATAATAAAGAGGAACAAGAGTGGGAAATTCGATACAACCCGCGCCGGTTTAGGTAAGGAACACTAGGTGCGACAAAGTATTGGATGGACTGTCTACGTGTAATATCAATTGTATATCTTGATGGGCTTGGATTTGAACCTGCAAGTTTGCAGCTTGTTCTCGATTATGCTCAACGTAAACGGGAAAGCGACTCTCATCGCCCATTTATCTTGCAGATCTCAATGTCTGCCTTGCAGCCTGCTCTTCGCTAAGGTCGCTTGAGTAGATTTCTTTTAACCAAGTAGTCATCTGTGAATTGACCATCTTCGGTAGTCTCGGTTTTGATTTCCGACTTCTGGAGGTCATTACATCGCTTCTTGGCGAGAACCTTGCTCATAAAATGGCACAGTAATAGTAATTGCACGTGACGTCACGCGTCAAAGACGCGATGTGGTCCCGCCTTGCCCAGCCTCAGATTGCCGTTCCTTGTTCACAACTCCAAAGACATCCAAGTTGTCGAGACTATACCCCAAATACGGAAACCTTGACACGGGGTACTGAGTGAGTCTACCCCGCGTTACGCTCTTTCAAAGGCAAAGAGTAGATATCCGCAGGCAACGCAGGCAACGTTGGTAACGTAGAATGCCTGGGAATGGCGCCATTCACGATTGATGTGCGGAATGTATCCGGAGCCATCAATAGGACCGAGATGGAAGAGACGAACGATAACCCAAGTCAAGAGCTCGCTGCAATTTACCGTCGGTTGATAGAGGTCGATCCGACCTTCAAGAAAATCGTCAACCACCACCCAGAACTTAGCCTGGAGGACTGGAAAGCACGAAAGAAGGCAAATCCAAACAAGCTCGGCCCTTACTCGGATCTAATCGAGCATGGATTCGCCCTTCGAGCACACGTTCACGGCATTCTCAACCCGACGGACAGCAGATTTCTCAACTTGCCTTTCGAGCTCCTAGATCAGATCTGTTCTCACGTCGACACCGTCTCGGCACAGGAAAACGATTTCACCTGGGCGCAACCACACAAGAGGCGAAAAGTCGACATCGAAACTCTCCAGTCCCTTCGCCTGACTTGCCGCCGTCTCTGCGAGGCAGCATCCCCTTACTTGGTTCCTACCATTACGGTACACGTCACACGGAAATCACTCGATCGCCTGAATGCGATTTCCCGGCATGCGACCATCGGACGAGGCGTGCGCTGCATCCGCATCCCGCTGGGCTTCTACGATGCACTCGCAGCATTCGCACATGAAAATTTCATTCTCTTGGCGAAACACGAGCTCCGGAACTTGTTCCGGCGGGAATTCTCGCATGGGATGACGCGTAAGGACATGCTGTCAGACGGAGCAAAAGAGAAGCTTCAGGCGATATTCGATCTTTTGGATCGGCTCACCAACGACCAGCCTTGGGATGAGGAGCTTTCAAATGCATTTCACGGAGGACTCATTGGGAAAGCCTACGATACATACACGCGCCTCGAGGCCGAGCAAAAGCACCTTCACGATGACAGATGGCACAGCTTTTCCGATACTGTATCATTTGCAATGAAGCGAATGCCGAATGCGACGAGACTGGAGATGAGCGATTCGTTTGAATCGCAGTGGATTCCGCCCGAAGGAGACGCCCTCGTCAATGACGACGAACTTTACCAATACCTCATAACTCCTCACCGATGGGAGCACGTAGCCACATCGGTTGCTCAACTTGAAGACGACCTCATGAGCGCTCGACGGCCGTTCGGATTCATCCCAGGCATTCTCGGAGCTACTGGCGTCTTCCTGACACGATTTGCTGTGCGAGTCAGCCCCATGCACTTTTGGGATGCATTTGAGACAGTGGGGGATGAGCAGACACTAGATGAATACACTTGGGTTACTGAACAGCTCCGGTGCTTCGAATTCACGAGCAAATATACGCTCAGCGATGGCCCTTCTAGAAGACCTCAGGTTACCTGGTCGAAGTTCCACGATGCGGCTGAGTTTGAAGGCTGTGGGAAGCTGCTCAGTGTTCTTACCACGACGGACAGTCTAGAGCGCATCTCGATCGACTTGGAGGAGTTCAGTCGCGACGCAGACACAATCGAAATCGGACCACAAAAGCCGTGGCATTTCAACTGGTTTGTCCGAACGCAACCATGGCCCAATCTCCAACGACTTACACTCTCGAATGTGCGTCTCAGCTCTCACGACTTTGGCGTTCTTCTTGGCGATAGAGAGATAGAACTTAGTCTTAGCTCTGTTGAGATGGTTCAGGGTACGTGGGAGGAGACACTGGATATGTTGCGGCGCAAGACCGACGCGAAACAGCGGGGAGAGCAGGGTCTCGCGCCGCTTAGAATTATGGCTTTGACAAGTCTGTCTGGGGCTGAGTGCAAGGAGATGGGTGAAGATGAGTACCGCGTCTTGAGTCTTGCGGCTCAGGGCTATGTGTGGCATCTTCAAGAGAATAATCCTTTCCGATGGCGTCCAGAGGACTGATGTTCCGCCATGATTAGAGGTAGATCTGGGAAAGACGGTGCTGTAAGCAATTGAAGCTTTTGATGAAGCCCAATAGAGACATGATTGAAGGCCTCCAGCCTCTCGAACTCTAGCAATTTGCGTCCCTAAGTCAGAATCAACTAAACGCGTCTCATTGCTGTGACTGAAAATGCAACCCCGCACTTTTCGATTGCCCCTCTACCCCACCAATTGTTACCCCTCCATAGTGCTTGAACAGCGTGAATAGGAAAAGAGACAACATTAACCTTCAACCAATCTGGGTTTGTATACGTCAGATTGAACAAGTACTCAGTATGGAGGACACAAAGAAGCCTCATGTAGTTTCATCTGAGCCACTGGTGAGTTGCAATGAGTTAACATGACGCGTTGATTCAACAAGCACGGCTAATGTGTCTGGTGATTGAACACGCAGGAGATTGGAGATGCCAAATGGATGACGTTGGTCAAGTCGGTTCCCCCTCAGATAATGATCTCATACGAAACTACACTGTAATGTTTAATAGACCTAACCGGACGTTTAGGATCAAGTACAGAGACGTGGATGGTAAAGACCGCCTCTGGGAAGGAGTTGAAAGAAAGACACGCGCAGCAGGCAGCTCAGTCGACGCGGTGCACATCGTTGCCGTGTTAAAGAAAGAAACTGGCCCAGAGCTTCTGCTTCAGCGACAGTTCCGCCCGGCTGTGGGCAAAATCTGTGTCGAACTTCCCGCTGGACTGCTGGACAAAGGCGAAACCATCGAACAGTGCGCGATCCGCGAACTCGCAGAAGAGACAGGCTACGTCGGTACCATCAAGCCGGATTCGTATGTGAACAGCCCAAAGCTTTTCGGCGGTAAGTGACCAGTTCGCAAATCAATCTATGTTTTGGAGACTTCCGACGCTAATACTTCTCAAGCCCCTGGTTTCTCCAAGTGTGTCACGCTCAGTCCCTGTCTTGGCTGGCCTTCGAAAGTTGACTCTCCCTAGTTCGTGCTCTGCTATGGTCCATGTTGATATAGACATGCAAGCAGAGGAAAATCGCAACCCCAAGCCGAGCTTGGAAGAAGGAGAGTTCATCGAGTGTTTCTCACTGCCCTTGACCAGCCTTTACGTCGAATGTAGGAGGCTAGAGGCCGAAGGTTATGCTATCGATGGCAAGCTCGGGTCTTTGATAGAGGGCTTTCAAATGTCCCAGGTGTGGCGGACCTAACACCGAATGATTGGACCATGTGGCTTTCAGGGCTCTCTGTCAAATAACAAAGATGACCAGGGTTCTAAAGTCGTCTTGATGGAAATGGTCCCTCTGACATAATCACGCGAATCCTTAGTCACGGGGTGAGAACAGGTTTTCTTAGGGAAAGCCTGAACAAGTCTCTCGGCGATACGAAGGCTACCCAACGGATGAGTTAGTGATGATATTGGATCATGAGGGCGGTACTCACGATGTGCCGAACCATTTGGATCGAAAATCTGTCAAAGGTCTCCTGATACGAAGAGCCCTGTCCGGGTTACATGCTCGAAGGGGTTCACCGTGGTCACATCAGGATCATAATCGCGTAGACTCATAAATCATAGTTCAACCAAGTGCTACGCTCACAATTTGAGAGACGACTTAATGGTGACAACACAGGATGAAGAATTTTCAATGGATGAATGATTGTCAGGATGTGTGAGAGCCACCCCAAATTGGTATCATAACAAAAGACAAATCAACTTCTACGTACACGAGACTGATCCCACAAACCAATCAGCTTCTACTCAAATCTCAGAAACAAAGAAAGCCAAAAAGGATCATTTCTTTTCCGTACTCGCCGTCGTCTCCGAGTCAACGTTTCCCGGGATCTTTCCCTCCAGCGTGCCCTCCGGCCCAGGCTGGAACTCCTCCTTGGCAACCGGGGGTCCGTGGAAGTTCTTTCTCGCGTAGGCAAAGTACCAGGTGATGGCGATGAAGGCGAAACCGGCAAACACGACGGAGGCGTAGTTCATGGTCGAGGCGTCGACGGGCAAGCTGACGGGCATGCAGAAGATGATGACGGCGAAGCAGATCCAGACGATGCAGATGCAGTTGATGGCGGTGCCGAACTTGCCGAGCGGGTAGGGCGAGTTAGCGACGGCGCGGCGGCGCTGGATGAGGTTAACGAGGACGGGCACGCCGTAGCTGGTGGACAGGCAGATGGTAGCAACACCGGTGAAGGAGTTGAAGGCGGCGCTGGAGCCAAAGTAGATGCAGCCAAGAATCATGTCGACGCCCGTAGACAGACCGAGGGCCCAGAGGGGCATGTCGAGCTTGTGGTTGACGCGGCTCCAGAGCTTGTAGCCGGGGATGGCGCCGTCGCGGGCGAAGGCGTAGGTGCAGCGGGAGGCGGCGGTCAGAGCGCCGATGCCGGCAAACATGAGGATGCCGAGGATGAGGAAGAGGAGGCCGAAGCCACCGGCGGCGGAGCCGGTGACGGTCTTGAAGAGGAGACCGATGGGCTGGGAGTTTGCGACCTCGAGGAGCATGGTGACGTCGGGGAGGACGAAGAGAATGGGGATGAGGTAGATGACACCGGTGACGCCGGCGGCGGCGACGGAGAGGACGATGGCGCGGGGGACTTCGCGTTCGGGGTTCTGGACTTCCTCGCACATGGAGGCGACCATGCCGTAGCCGGTGAGGGTGTAGGCGGCTAGTAGAAGTGTCAATTGGGGTGTATTCGTGAGCATAGGGTTATGGCGAACATACCTTGGAGCAAACCGACGAAGAATGACCAGCCAGGAGCCCATCCACTGGCAGAAGCGTCGTAATGGGTGAAGACAAACTCGGCAGATCTCTTGCTGGGGGCCATGACCAGGATAGTGATCATGATGATGAGAACGGAAGCACCGGTCCAGTAGATGCAGACCTGAAAAAAATACTCGTCAGCATTCTCGTTCCGATGCTGATTTCTCATAGCATGCCAAACCCACCTTGTTGATCAGATCCAGGTACCGCGATCCAAACGCATTCACTCCAGCGCAAACCAACATAACAGCCCAGAAGCAGAGCACAGTTTGCCACGTATTGGCAACAAAGTCCTCGTTGAAAACACTAATCGCACTGAGAATCAACTGCGCACCGCTAAAGTTGATACTCAGGGTAACAGTCCAGTTGCCGACGAGGGTAAGCCACCCGTCCACGAAGCTGACGAGCGGCGCCCAGCCGGCGGGGGCGAGCATGGCGGACCAGTAGTATACGCCGCCGGCAGTCGGGTAGACGGCGCAGATCTCGGCGAGGGAGGCGGCGATGCAGAGGGAGATGATGGAGACGAGGACCCAGCCCCAGAGGACGGTGACGGCCTGGCCGTTGGTCAGGGTGATGTACATTGTGGTGCTGAGGCCGAATGGGACGGCCATGATGGCGAAGGAGAGGCCGAGGATGGACATCATGGACAGGTTGCGCGGGAGCTCGGCCTTGTAGCCCAGCCTGGCGAGGGCCTGGTCGGCGGAGACGCGGGGAGGTGCTTCCATGTTTGCGGTCTCTAGTCGTTGGTGATTGTGAGGTTCTGAGTGTTGGTGGTTGAGGGTATCGTGTGGTGTCAGTCCACGGGTGGTAGACGACTCAATCGAATCGGTAGGACGTCGATTGGCGTCTGTAGATGACTTAATGGCTTTGTTGGTTGTTGTAGAACCCCGGATTCGGACAGCCTCGCTCGGTGACGTTTCTCGCCGGGTGGAACGGGGTAGACGGACGAGTTTGCGGGGGAGGAGTCTGGAGATGCGGCAATTGAGGAGCAGGAGTATTAAATGAACGTAATGGAAATGTTGAAAATGTTGGCACAGACACACACACGCACTCCACGAAGAAATGGTAGGGGACCGCGTCTTTTTGGCAGTGAAGAAAAAAGACCGCGTGCGTTACATGGGAACCGAGGTGTGTGGTAAGAAAAAGGGGACTAAGCCATTCTTTAGTAGCCCAGACTTTCTCTCTCCCAATTGTCTCCATCAGCTTGTTCGTACGGGACTAGAACTAAACCACGTTCAACACACGCAAGAAGAGTGGTCTCGGTCCAGGGTACAGACTAGACTAGTCTATCCGGCAGTCAAGCTTGAAGCAAGCCAGGCCCGGCCCAGTACCATCCACGGGGACGGGGCGAGTCACACACACATTCAAATGACACAGAAGCGCGGCTACGTCCAATGCGACAAGAAACGGACGGGAGGGCCTGGCTGCGGCCGGGGGTGGCACTGGTAGGATAGAAGGGGGGAGGGGGGACCCCGGCCTTGGGCATGGAGCTCTCTCGTTCAAGACGATGCGCTAATCTTTTGCTCCTCTTCTATTTGACAATTGCCAGGCTGTCAGTAGGAAAGCCGAGAGAAAGAGAGTCTGAAAGAGAGACGAACGAATTGTCCTCCTCGGGTCTCCTCTTTTCTTCCCCCACGCCCCGCAACGACCTGACGGAAGTGAGGAGAGAAAGTGGAAACTGGCCGAGATGCACAGCTCACGATCAGTGGATCTCTCAGCTTGCCCAAGCCTCTTGGGCTGAAGCCGAGTTGTCTGGGCTATTTGTGATGCTCAAATTCGTGAATACGTCAGGTCAATGGTTAAGCAACACGTAGAGTCTTCGACAACACCTGAACAGCTGGTTCCCAATCCGTCAATGGCATGAAATGATGCTTCACTCCAAATGATCGTCTTTATCTACGTACCCACCGTCTAAAGTGGGAAACCCGATTGTGGCGCCTTGACAGACGGGGGCGGTTTTAGGTGCAGCCAGCCGGTAACGAGTCTCGAGGAGGGAGAACCTGGACCAGAGGACCACCCACCTCCGGGACCGCGATTATCTTTGGCAGGCTGGCAGCTTCGGGGGCGGCCTTTGATGATTGATTACGATGACAGGCCAGTTCAGGCGCCCCTGGGGCGTGGTAAGCGTATGCATGTCAAGCCACCACCACCACAACCACAAACCACCCAGAAGGGCACCACCACTTCGGGGCGCCGCTTGGTTCGTTGGTTCGTGCGTATCAGGACGTTAACCCAGACAGCACCAGGACACACCCATTTCTGGTAGTCTCGCCTTGCCTGATGGCTGGGATGCTGAATCATGGTTAACCGCGGTGTGTAGACTCTGTGTATCAGTGACTTGGTCATCTCTATCTTCCTAGCGAGACTCTCTCTCTCGTTGACTTCATTTTGAGGATGAAGATAACCGAATGCTGTTTGCTCACGAAGGACCATCGTGACCAGATCTCGGGTAACTCGGAGAAGCATAGAGGGGGGTTAAACACTCCTCCTATCGGGACCGCGGTGTTGGCGTCCTCCAAAAGTGTCGAAACCCCATCGTCCACGTTCCAAGCAGTCCGTCTTTTCCCCAGGAATTGATCGGTTACAGGGAAACCACAGCCTACAGCGCGGTAAACCACAAGGCGAGAGAATTGTCACCTCGCCAAAAAGGCTTGTTTCTCCAGCTCGTGTAGCCCGTGATGTCATTGCCCACCCTATCATGTACCTTTCCCCCCCTCCTCCTTCTAGGCTTCTCCTGGGTAAGCCCATTGAAAGCGTTGGCTGCAATGGAACACTCGCTGCAACAGAACGAAAGGGTCGATCACTTTGGGGAAACGAGCTTGGCGGCGCTCAATGGATGCTTGGGCTGAGGGAGCGCGCTGGAGATAGACGTGCTCACGTGGTGCAGCGTTGCTCATGCATTTCGCGTCCGCAGAAGAACGCCAGCAGTGAGGAGATGGAGGAGGTGGTGTCGTGCCACTCACTATCTCGTCCTATCACGACCCTTACCGCGTTGGCTTTCGTCTCGTCGTCTCTTCAATACCCCCAAAATCTTATCAGCTTGTCGAACCATGCCTTCGAATCGACGCCTCCCCCGGCAATAGAACGATGCCCCTTCTGGACAACGCAGGTCGGGCAACCCGGGCACATGGTTTAGATTGCCGTGGCTCCAGTGTTCCAATGCCGTCCTACCAGACTCCTAGACTCCCAGACCAGTCCCGAAACGCAAGCTGCTGTCCATTTGATCCAAAGAAGCTCACCTCGACTTCCTCGCGATGTCTACGGAGTACACCGGCAATGCTCCTCAACGTGGAAGTCCAACCCCGCAAGATTGGGCTCGCCCACAGCCCACAAGGGCCCCTTCCCCCTCCCCGCTGACACATACAATTGCAGTGGAGAAACGGATCCCGAATCCACACGTCTCAATGATAAGAGACGGCTCTTCTCGGAAGCAGAATCTGGGTTTCGGA